TACAAGTGTTATTAGTTATACTGTTAAAACCCACGGCACTCCTGTTACATACTTGAACTCCAGTGCAAACTTCACATTGTCACCAAGTCTAACAAGCAACAAAACACACAAAGGACTCAAACGTGATTAAAATTTGTGCAGACAATTACATATAGATAAATTTTTGTTTATTAAAACTTGATATGTTTTTTTCATGAACTTGATATGCATTTTTCATTTCTCTTTTCATTCATTTTTGCAATTGCTTGACGTTGAACGAAAAAAAATCGCTGGCAAAATTTCCTTTTTGTGTCTCAAACGTAAGCAATGCTTAGTTTTTCAACAACAAATCTAAAAATGATAAGCTAATTTTTTTGTTAGGACCCAAAGTGTGTGCTAAGAAAACCTAAAATTGTAAAAAAAAAGCTACCATAATTAATTGTTGAAAGATTCAAAATACAATTTTTCTTGCTATATACAAAACGTTACGTTCTTTGTATTTATTTTGTGGGACAGTCTAGAAAAAATTTCTTCATGGCAAATCACCGAATGCAGTGTACCTGTGCGGTAACTGCCACTTAACTGCGTTTTTGTGTGCTAGAAAAGCTTGGTACATACTTTTCCGGACTAATTACCAAACCTCGAATCAGGTAATTTTTGTTCGTTTTTCGAAAAGGCCCTGGTCATATAATTTAAGTTAAAAAAAGGTATTTAACACTTTCGTTGTAAAAAAAATTCCGTGTCCCTGCCATAAACTTTTTGTAATAAAGTCGCTGGCTTTTTAATTACAGGAAAAGGAAAAATTATAATACAGAATTTCTCTGTAAGAAAAACTAATTCATTGTCCGACCGTTTGAAAAATGGGCGGAATCTTGTATTCGGGTGTGTTTAACTCGTTTTGATTTCCACGCAAACTCATGTACCACAAATAATCATTGAATGAATCGAGTGCAACATCAATTTAAAACTTCATCAGTTGTGATTCCAACGACATTAAACACATATAAGAAAATGACCCCTTACCGAAAAATCACAGGTTCAAAATTTTTGATTTTTCGTCAAACTTTTATCAAGAAAAGCAAGGGAGAAGGCTTATTTTGTTTTTCAACCCTGAGAATTTCCACAAATGTTCACTAAAATTCTAATATTGATATATCATCAAATCAAAGCCTTTCGGCATTGATTTGAACAACAATGGAAATTTTTCAATCAAATGTCCCCGAGAAAAATTGCTTTAAACTTTTTGTTTTGAGTTTCGCATCGATTCCGATAAAGTAAAGTAAGCAAGCAGACTTTTTTATATAGAAGAACAGGCCCGGCATTGTTAGTTCGGTTCTAGTTAATTTCTTTCAAAAAAGATTGTTCAGCGCGGTCTTTGGAAGGAAATAGTTAACAATTTAAAAATCTGCAAAAAAACCAAAAAAATTAAATTTTTTGGAATAATTTTTTGTTGTCTTTGTTGTCTTTCTAGTCATTGTTTGACAAAGTTTAAGTCCAATTTGCCGGGAAAAATTGTTTGTAATTTTTTGTTGTCTTTGTTGTCTTTCTAGTCATTGTTTGACAAAGTTTAAGTCCAATTTGCCTGTTTACTGTGACTGTCCTATATGATTAAGTTCTAGTCTTTCGTTAAAAATTGTTCATCAAATCGCGCACATTCTATCGCTTTGCACTTTATATGGCGTGTTGAGTTTTACAAAAAATATCTAATTTTGAGAAAAAAATGTTCGTTTTGCTTTACTGCATTTAACTTTTTATTGTTTTTACTGCTTCGTAGACCTTAAAAGGCAGTCGGAACATTCAAGGTTTTGCCCTGACACGAGCAGTCCTGTTTTGTTTTCAACAGCTTAGTTTAGGGACTGCGGCGATGAGCATATTGCGAGTTGTCTTTTAATGCGAGTTGTCTTTTATTGCGAGTTGTCTTTTCTGAGGTGTGAGTGTCTGTGTTTGTAAGTAACCTTTGTGTTAAAGGTTTGCCTTTGTTTGACATTTCAAGAGTAGTGACTACTCTTATAAAGTTCTTTGTGTTTTGTTTGTGTGTCTTGATATGCCTAGTTTTTTTCAATGTTTTTCTTTTTTTTCCGACTTCAGTTTTTGTTTTACTTCGAATGATGCGGAGCTCTGCTTCACCTTTGTGTTCTTTACTAACTTGCTCTCTATCGGCCAAAAATAGTTTTGAAGGTCATCAGAGGATACGTATCTGAGAAGAACTAGTCGAAAGTCAGCCAATCGATGGCATCCAGATACACGTTTTTGCACAGTTTTTACCTTGCAAATCGGTACAATTTGGTGTTTATGTGGCCGACTTCTAAGTGCATCTTCTCATACTTGATTCCAAAAGTGATCTCAAATTTTGATAATTCTCACATGGGAATAATTTAGGATTTTTATGATGTTTGAATGTTTGTTGATGTTTAAATGTTTGTTTCAATTTTTCAACTTATGTGTCAAAAATTGTGTGTTTTATAGGGAACTATTTCAGATGTTGATATCAGATGTGATTGGAAGAGATGAATTCCAGAACATTGATGCCTCTGGTGGACTGTTTCTTGTTTTGGATTCCTCAGCTAGCTAACAGGCTTTTTTTCTGACTTTTTCTGAGGCAGTCTCTCCTGGTTTGGCGTCCACCTAGGATAAGATTAAGAAATGCTCTGCTTTTTCAGCGTGTGAGGAGAATTGACTATGCGAAAACAAGTTTTTTCTGGTTTTCACTGTTCAGAGACTGCTCGTCGTATGGGATGGGAATTAAAGTAGCTTTTTGCCTCATTTTGCTGGATTTGTAATTGTTAAAAAATGCTAGTCATTAAATTTTCAAATATGAATATTTTCTATTTTTACAATTTCTATATATGAAAAAATGCTAGTCATACACTTTCCATAATTTAAAAACACTAGTCATAGAATTTCCACAAATGAAAAAATACTAATCATAGACCTTTCATGCTATTTTCTGTACGTATGGAATTGTATGGAAAGTGTAAGACTAGCATTTTTGGTCAAAATGGATGAAGTAAATAACCGCAACAAAGAAAATGTACCAAAGAAAAACTATATCAATTTGAACAGAAATCTGAAAACACAATTCAAAAGCCAACTATAAAACTTCGTCTTATGAAACTATGTATGAGTCGACTGAATTTGTTACAATTTATCGATAGCATTTCACACATTAGTGAACTTAGGACGGGCGCCCCCATCCATTCAGTGATTCGACCCCCTGACATCACAAAGGATCTCCATTTGATTCTAGTTTAAGACCTCCATTTTTAGCCGCTTCAGCCTAAAAATTCTCTACAGGCACGTTCTTGGCCGATATATTAAAAAATGAGGGGGGATTTCACGCCCAAAACAACGCGGGTTTTTGGTCAACATTATCGTAAAAGCGCCTATGAACGCCTGTTTTGTAACAGTTTGCCTGCGGCGCTAAATTTTGACCAAAACAGGATCTTTTCAGTGCTTTGGGGAGAGCTCGGAAAATCTATTTGTTCGACCTAAAAAAAGGTCAACAAAGTTTTCGAAACCACCATCCTCGCCCTACTCGAGAAAAAACGTAGATCTGCTCCTGCATTTGCAAATGACGTCTGATTCGCATACTGAAATGTATTTAAGATGATTATGTAAAACTACTTTTATGATGTGTGCAACAAAAGTACAACGTCCCGGGTTGACAAAAAATGCTTATCATACAATGTTGATGTATGAAAAAATTGCTTATCATACTCTTTCGTACAATTTCATAGAGCAAAAGTAAGTGTATGAAAAGAGCAAAATAAGCATTTTTTCGACAAATGAAATTGTATGACAACGATTTTTTTCCATGAATGAAAATACAAAAAGTTTTTGTTTCGAACTTTCGTGTTTCATCCGAAACACTAACAAAGGATTTTTTGTCATAAGAAGACCCAGAGTGTAACTGGCAGTTATCAAGCATATAAACTGCATTTGGTGATTTTAGCTATCAAAATATGTTTTAACATTTTCACATGAAATTATGTACCAAAAGAGTAACTTTGCGAATATGCTTAGATATTTTTCAGTTTAAAAATTTGATGTTTGAGAAAAAAAAGTCTGTTTTTATATAAATTTATTTTTATTTTAGCAATTGAAACAAAAGAAAATAATCGTGTTCACAAAAAAAACACTTCCTTGTGATTTTTGGATTTTTGTGTGAAAAACTCATCCTGGACTACGTTATAAACACAAAAAGTCAAATTTTTTTTCGGAAACTTTATCTTTTAGCACAAAAACAAGTTTGCAACTAAAAAAGGGATTAAAATTTTTCTAACTCAAATTTTTGTTTTTGCTTTTCAAAAAAATGGATATCATACAATTTCCTATATGATTAGCATTTTTCTGACCGACTTTAAAATTATGTTTTTGATTGTCGAAATGCCTTCTATCATAGATATAACTGTTCAAATATATTTGAAGTTTGTTACCCAGACACGTTTTTTAGTGATTTTTAAAAAATTTTATTTTTTCAATGACAAATTGAATATCTTGTAATTTTCATACATAAAAACTGTATGAAAAGCATTTTTAATAAAATATTTTAAATCATTTTTTAATGACCAGAAAGCTTGAAAAGAGGCAATTAGACCAAAAAGTATCATTAAAAATTTTTAAAACACTTTTTAAATTTTGTATGAATTTTCTATGATAAGCATTTTTCCATAGACTTCACATATGAAACTGTATGATAAGCATTTTTCTTCTCTGGACGTCAACCCGGGGTGTTTTTAATCAATTTGATACAAATGTATAGCGGATTCAGCACTTCCAGCTTATTTTGGTGGTATATGAATAAGCCAAAGTATAAACCAGGCCAAAAGTCAACCAGCCAAAAACACGTAGTATTATGTAATAGTTACATATCAGCTAAGAAAGTTATGCAAATTCAATCAAATGATGTAACTTTTTGTGCTGGCTTACATACTCTTCGCATTTTCGGTTGGTTTTCATTTCGGCTGGTTTATACTTCAGCTGGTTTATATACTTAATCAAGAGCAAGTTCGAGTTTATTCAAGTTTTAAAAAGTAGCATACATAAGTCTTATAAGTCTGAAGCAGTAAAAATTTTATGTACAAAATAAAACATTTATCTTTATACCAAACTTGAAAATAACCAAGTCAGCATCAGACCAGTCGGCATTGTATAATCAAACCAACATCAGAAACTCATATAAGGCCTCCACTTAACAGAAGAAGAAACGGAAGAATTGAATAAATGTCTTCCCGTATCGCGAATGGAACTAGAGTAGTCAATGGTGAAGGGAGAGGTGGAGGGGATTTTGGAGAAGGGACATGCATTCTGGTGACTGGGGGTGCTGGATTTATCGGCTCAATTGTGACCTTGGAGCTTCTGGTCAAGGGCTTACAAGTGGTCGTCGTTGACAACTGCTCAAACTCATACATTGCCAGTCAGTATATATATATTACGATCTTCAAAAAAAATTTAGGTCTTCGATCATATATTTATGCTGATGTATTTCGAACGTTTATTTTTTTAAAAAAGTTTAAGCAGTAAAATTTAGTTCTTGCAAACTCTCATGGAGGATTTGGTTTTTTTCATTTTTTGTCGAATAAAAACATTGAAAAGTTTCGAATCGCTTTCAAATAACTTCAGAAGAAAGTGAGAAAAAATAATATTTTACTTCTTCATAATCCGCAAGAGAAAGAACCAACATACGAGCTATGTTCAGCTCATTACGGAGAATCACTGTTGTGCCACTGTTCAAGAACTATATATGCAATTTTTTGGGTGTTTTTGGGCTGTGTATTGTTGCCTCAACCTGAAGCAACGAATACGGCTCATTGTGAGCCTCCTACGTCACACCTTTCGATTGACTAACGCTCCACTTGATAGTTTGTTTTTCACGAGATCTTAGTACCAAAATCATTTATGCCTCACTAGTATAGTCTAAGCCCTTTTGGGTTATGATTTGGATTTCAGATTAATACGAGGAGTTTAATTTTATTGCACAAGTAGTTATTATCTTTTGGTCTTCGTATTGGAATTTTTTTGCTGATTTTAACAAAATTGGCAAGCTTACTTTTAACTTTCTCCCTGCAATCAAAACCACAAACACTTCAGAATTGACAAAAACAAAAGAAAAAACATTACGAGACTAAACTGTGCGTTTTTTGGATTGTAAGAGGATTCCGCGACAGGCCAAACAACTGAACACTTGCGGAGATCGCAACGTTGATACTTGTATTTTATCTTCAGTGCTGTTTTGGATTCCAGATACAAACACCTAAAATACTGTATTGCTAAAAATCTCTCCAAAAACAGGCAACTTTGCGGAATCCGCAACAAAATATGTGGAATGCGCAACAAAAATTGAGGAATCCGGAACACTTTGTAGAATCCACAAACAAAAATTATTTTACGTATTTAGTAAACTTGAGCTGTCATGGAATCCGCAACTGTTAGTGGAATCCGCAAATTTTAAGTGGACTCCACAAATTGAAGGCAGAATCCGCATAAATTTGCGGAATTCTCTTACATTTGGGGAGTCCGCTTACGGTTGCGAAATCGGGAACATCTACCTATATTCATTCGTAGCGGAATCCGAATCAAAACTAGTGCCCACAAAAATAACTTTACAGATATTCGAACGCGGAATTCACGGAAATGTTCTAAGTTTTGGAACAATTTCAAAAAATTCTCTGGAATCCAGAATAATGCACACACCAGATTGTGCGCCTATCCAGTGCACAGTTTGGCTGTGCTCGGAACTTTCGGTGCGACTGGAGTGGTAGTGTAAAAGTGGCTAACAAAATGACCGCTTTTGCTCTCTCTTTTTTTTCCGATGTTCCGTTGCAATGACCTTTTTAAATCCCCAAATTGGTTAAAACTCCTACTTTTTTGGGCACATATGTTTTAAGGGTGGTTAAATTTCGTTTTTTCCCTGGCACTCTATGGAAACAGGAATGGAATTCAGTTCCGGTTGGTGCATGTTTTCCCTTGATTTTGACAGTTCATATTTCAGCGTGTTATTATCAACCAGTCTAGAAACTTTTAGTTTGATTTGGAACTTTGCTCTATCTATGCAAAAAGAAAACTTGAAAAAACGGTTCATTTGTCAAATGATATTCTAAAAACTTATTTGACTTCTTGCTCGACTTTGACACTAACTGATTGAAAAAAGCACAGATTGAAAAAATAGTTATTGTAAGAACAAAATGTTTTAAAAAAGGCTGATGGTCTGATCAAATTTATATCACCGAGTTGTATATATCAGCAAATAGCAAATGAAATTGGAAAAACGTAGATATACCTAAGCGGACTTGGAAATCATTCATGAGAATTATTTGACTGTGAAAAAAAAACCTTTCTGAAAAATTCCGACCGTGGAAATTATTTTCTGGCGCGTGTTTTTTGTTTTTCTTTTCTAAAAAAAATGATTTAAAATATTATGTAGCCATCAAACTTAGACCAAATGGAGTTGTTTTTGGCATAGAAGACTTTTCCTTGAACAATTATTAAAAAGGTTCAAAAAAAATGAGGTCTGCATGCAATTTTTCGTGATGCTGCAGGTTTTGTTTACAACACAGGTCCCAGTTACTGCTGTATGCTACCCTGGAAGTGTAACAGCATTCTAATGGGTCATTCAAGCAGTATTTTTTCTGTTTATTTGTCAAACTAACCAGATCAGAACTGTATCAATTGTTAGAATGTTGAGTGAACGATCAGTCGTGATAGATTTGGAAGGATTTCGCTAAAAAAAACCTTCATAGTTAAAGAATTATCATATCTTTTTTTCTCAATAAGAACTGGGTGTTATAGATAGAGAGTCAGAGAGAACTAGATAAAGAAATATAAAATGAACAGCTGAATGTGTGAATTAGCAATGATGAACCTAATGCGACTATAATTATTGATTTTGTTTATGATCAAAGAAACACTGAACAAAAATCTTGGAAGTTTTGTAATGATGTTACCGTCCCAAGATCAGAAATGGTTTTTATGTCTCAAGTGATTTCATTTTTACCTTCTTTTTGTTTCTAGAAAATTTCTTGGACGCAAATACGCTGTAAGGAAACATCAGTTTGGTTTACAAAATTGTCTGGTTCAGTTGGGTACTGCTACCAAACCTGCTGCTGAATAAAATTATTGATACGTCGGCAAGACTGTTTATGGCAGTTGTAGGACCTTCGGCATCCAGAAAAACAGAGTTGAGTTTCAGTCTATTGAGCGGAGGAAGAACCTTTTGTCCCGAAATTGAAAGAGTTTTATTTTTCATAAAGATATTCAACCTGTTTTTAGGGACGAGTTAAACGCTCGCAGAATTCAAATAGAGTTTACGAAGTGTGACTGATTTGATTGTTTGAGAAACCTTGAAAACATTCTGTTAGTGTTTGATGACTCATGCGAGGAATATACAATGATAAAGAATTAGTTAAACTAGAATTAACAGGAAGACACAAGGTCTTAGATGTTATTTATGTTAAATATAATTAATTCCAACAAAGCCGATGGTCACGAGCTATTGACTTGAATACAACTCACATCATTTTATTCAAATCACCTCGTGATATTCAGCAACTTGATCAACTCGGAAGGCAACCTAAATTACCTAAACTCATACGACAAATGGAAGAACTGGCTACAAAGGACAGCTTCGGACATCTAAAAATAGATTTAGAGCGCCGAACATCAGACTGTCTCAGGGAGTGTTCAAAAATAATACCATCTGGACCGTCAATTTCCTATTTAGTTTAGATAAGACAGAAGTGACAGCCATTACAAAAAAACCCAAAAAAGTATCAATTCTGCAGCACATGGTGCAATTGAACCCAACTCAACCACGAGGCTTCATTCAAAAAACAAAACATCAAATAGTCAAAAATATCAGTTGATTGTGAGTGCTTGCTCAATGTAGTCAACTGTAATGTGCATGTCAGTATACCAAAACCTCAATGAATTCGAAAGAGCATACAAACTTTTAATCAATCCAAAAACGAAACCTGAAAAGGAATGAGCTTTTATACTGAGCAAACAAGGACTCAATCTGATCAGACATATACTTTATTTTTGAGTCAAGTACTTGACAGCGTAGAAATGGCAGCAGAAGGATCTCTTCTAATTCCGAAGCATATGTATATCAGAGATCAACCACATGCAATACGTATTTTGCTTGACAATTCCATCAAACATACGTAACCACAACTATCATATTTGAACCTTTTGGGACCCCTAAATGCATCAACATTTAGGGGTCAACATCAAGCGACATTGCCTCACTTCTCGGGACATTACAGACTGCAGGAAAGTGGCGTCGGTGTTGTGGATTTGGGTATTGGACTAGTAGCACTTCCGTTAGCTCGGAAATTTATAGTATCAGGAGCAAAAGGTATTGGAAAAGAAGTACTTAATCAAGCAGCACCAAAACTAATAAATGTAGCAACCAGTAAGGAAAAGTCGAAACAAGCCTTAAACAACACAGTGAGAAATAGAATTAAAAAGTAGGTTGGAGCTGGACGCAGCAAGTCCCGTATGAGCTGGAAAAAGAAGTCGGCAACAAAAACAACGGTAAAAAAAAAGATCTCATTCCAATGGAACGAACTTTACTGAGAAGTCGCTTCACTTTTTTAAACCAAAATACAAATTGCCTCCTAATTTATTACCAACTGCAGCAACTCAGAGCTCATTCGATTTATTTGAAAAGCTCCAATCGATACATTTGAAAATGTATTCACTCAAGTAATTGGTCCATCTTATTCACCTGATGGTCCCATGCTCGAAATTGAAGTTTTAGGAGATAGAAACAACTTCATCGGACTTCAACGAACGTGCTTGTAGATTGTAGCACGCATTGTCCAAAATCATGGTAATGTAGTGCGAACTCATGCTGCAGAGATAGCACAATGAGATACCCCATATTTGGTTAGTAGTCCACCTCATCTTCATTTTCCGAATGCACAATATCCCTGAATGGAGCAAAAAATTTCATAAACTAATGCCAATTATGCCCATAAGGTTTTCATTGAGACCGAGTTTTCAAACGGTAATGATGCAACGAAAACATGGCTTGCTTGTCAAGGTTTTTAGTATAAAGATTTTTCATCAGGTTTTGGTGGTGCTAATGGGCGAGCTGAAGAAGTCGCCGAAGGTAAGCGAATCGTAGCTGCATCAAGAACATTCCGTTTATTTGGTAGAAATTGCTTGCGAGTTCTTATCATGCGAAAATTTGTTATCAGAGGTGTTAAAACTAAATTTTCTCTGAGACGATCTTTTAATGATTTCGTTATAATTTCTGAGCATCGAGATAAACGTCACCAAGTTGAGATCAGTGAGGTTAACCTATATGAGCGCAAAATGACAGTAATATAATTTGTACTATCATCTGTAGAAAAAACTCTGTTAAAAACACCCGCAAATTACAGTTATATTGAAATTTTACAACAAAATTTT